TGCAGAGGTAGGTCTCCCCTGCAGAATTGGTTTCCCCTGAATCAGGAGCAGCGCTGGGCTGTTTAAATCACGGACAAACAGGATCCCACAGCTGTTTATGTTTTTAAACCCATTTTGCACAGAGAGGCATTTTTTGAAAAATGTATTGATGCAATGTTGAATATTATTACACATGAAAAAACAACTACATGTAAAATAATCCCACCGTGACGCCTCTGCCTTTGTAAATGGAGGGACAGTAACTGCGTGTTTATATGTAAGCGTGTAAAACCTGCAGATAGAGACAGAATACTGTTAATCTGAATATCTGAAATTCATCTCATGTAAACGAACATTACATTTTTCTTGTAAAACAAAGGGGGCCTAGCAAAAAACGTTTGGGAACCACTGTGTAATGTGTAATGACTTTTGGGATGGATTTCTTTATCTTACTCCACATTCTGATTGGCATTTGTTACATGTATCTAAACCTTAAACATAATGAAGGGTTTTACAACACAACCCTTACTTGAGTGTGGGGATCACTGATAAATTGTTCGCCGACTTCCTCAGTAGATTTATACTGAAAATGGGGACATTACCATTTTTTAACAAATACAAAACCATATCCAACTAGAGTCATTAGTATGCCATATGCTTATGACTTCTGGGGGCGTTTCTAACACAAATACACTCTGCTTTAATCTAAACGGGGACATTCATAAACCTCCATGGCTGCGATCAGGCCTATGGTGACATAGAGGTCTTACCTCACCCCCCCTGCCTTTAGGCTGTCCCTGCTGTGTCCCTCTTCACTCTCACACACACAAACTCCAGACCTGCATTCACCTCTTTCCTCTGATCCCCTCCACCCGACAGACATACAAAACTCTGAACATCGCCCTTTCACTGGCTGCCCCACCCCCACTTGCACACGAACTCTTGCCCACAAGCACTCTGATTGTATGACACTAGTGTTTATTGTATTATGTTGTACATAAGACTTTTGTTTTGTTTTTATCTTTAAGTTGTTCGATGTACACTGTAGACCGTGGGAGCATTGCAATGTAAAATTCCTGTATCATCTGTACATATGGGTTTTCACAATAAAGCTTTGACTTGAGTCAAGCTCTGCACATATCTCTAAGGCCCAGTCAACCACGCTACAGAGGCTAAACTTTCCCACTTGTATCCAGGATATAATTTTTTCTGTCATGATCCATATTCAATGACCATAGTCTTACACAGTTTTTGATCAGCTCTTAAAGAGACTTTGGTGAGAATTAAGTTTTATGCCATATGCTTGTGACCTTTTATGCTCATAGGCAGTATTTTATATACTGTATTTTGCATACTGCCTAAAAGGTATTAACGTTGAAATTTAAATTTAGCTCAGCTCTTTCACCAAACTTTGGATCCCTGCAAAACATCTTAAATATGTTGCAACACCAGTATCAAAGATTTAGAGTAATTTATGTCAAGCTGCAGTTCAGAAAGCAAGTATGAACCTAAAGTGCTCCATATGTAACTGCTTCACATCATGCCAAACGATTCTTTAAAAAATATTTAAAATATTTGTAAAATAATTACGTCAAATATGACTCTTTTGTATTTTCTAGTGTGCTCTTTATCTTTGAAAATGTAATCTACTTTCTGACAAATAGTCTACTGATTTCTATTGTTTAGTCAAGAGAACAAATGTTTGTTTATATAAAACCATTCATACAAAACATGTTGAAAAAGATTTTCAACAAAGATCAGTATATTAAAAGAAATCTTACACTACAATAATATAAGGGTTAGGGAGAGGTAATACACACACACAAATCCAAGAAATGTCACTTTTGGGGACAGTGGAAACTTGTGCAATTTCACGCACTGCCACTAGGGGCAACATAGAGTTATACACAGATTGATAAAAATTTGGGGGGCAATGTCATACACATACACAAAAAATCCAAAAAAATGTCACTTTTGGGGACAGGTGAGATTTTTGGATTAAAATATGTTTTAGAGAACGCTGAACGTTGTTAAGAGGTAAATCTAATTGGGGACGGTGGTTTTGGTCCCCAAAGGGAGAGGTGTCCCCAATCGACTGGTGTGTGAGCTGATAGAAGTCCCAATTCTGACACAAGCAAAATCACACACAGACACACTCACACACAGACACACTCACACACAGACACACACACACACACACACACATTCTTTAACCATCTGGAGCAGCAAAGTCTCAGTTGGATCGGTGCCACTTTGGTACTTTGTAAACGTTATTTTTTCATCACCTAGAATGACGTCTGCAGTAAAGGAATCAGAAAATGAAGCGTTTTCATCAAGCGTGATGCCGCGGATCAGTCTGGACAGAAGAGTCGTGATGAGGGAAATGAACCCTGTCAGCAGTTAAAAGTGAAGCACGTTGCTGTGGACGGTCCCAGGATTAAACAAATGGCTTCAGTAATAATTAAGCCCCATTTAGACGGATTAGTTGCTCTACAGCAGGAAGGGTGATTCTAATAATTTAAAATATGAAGAGACAGGACAGAATATGTGGGTGTCATCGCTCTGATAGGAACTAATGAGGTACTGATGTGGGAAACACGCCTACACAACAACCTGCCATTGTGCCACCAAACAAATTACTGAGTCAGGGCTCCAGACAAACCTTTTACCACGGTTTTTAAAAAAGGTGCACCACTAACCGCACTAACCCATTCCCCACCACTCAGGCACACCCACATTTTTCAACTGCATCACTTAACACTGCAGTTTTACGTGTGCAATTCTTTGAGGGGAAAATTGCTGTCCATACAGACAACATTGATTTGTAAATGATTAACTAACAATCTTGTCAACACAAAGTTCTTTATGTGGAGCACATTTCTAAGGAAACATAAGTTACTGAAAAAGTGCTTAAAGAGCGTTGGCTCTCTTTGGTGATATTGTAGACAATGTTAATCATGTCATCGGCTCCTCTGACGACCTGCCGCTGAAAGGCAGTGTTAGTGGGGACACTTGGGCAGTTATCACAGCATATAATGTGTTTTCTGGATACACTGCTGCTTTTTCAGCATTCAGAGGTTGATGGCTCCGTGTCAGAGCTGGCTATGAATTTCAGACAGATCAGGTCTTAACTTAACAAAAAATGTATCAATAGTTCTTTTCATCTTTTCTTATTACAGCTACATCCACGTCTGTCAGGCCTAGGCTGCTCATGAGGGCTGGGTATCATCACTGATTTCTATAATCCATTTGATTCACGAGGTCCTGATTCGATTCAGTTTTGCCTGAGACAGTCAGAAATATTATAATTCTGATCATTTATCAGTACTGATACATGTGAGACTTCATCAGAGGTGTGAGCATCACAGCAGAGGCCTTTGTGTCAAAGTAACTGAGGATAAAACAGAAAAACATGAAGGAGATTTTCCTGGTCTGGATTTTTATAGCAGAGAAACTTAAAAATATTCTGCAACTTTGCATAATCTGAAAAAGTTTAGATTTCTTCAGCATTGAACAGCAGAAATGAGGCTTTCTTGTCCGAGGACATTTAAGTAAAAAAGACAGCAGCTGACAGCGCTGTAAACAACGGTAAACTGATGGGTAATAAGCAAATGAATAATGCAGAAAACAGATTTGAGACGGGAAACTGTTCCTGAAGTACAGAGAGAGAGAGAGCTGTGCAGGAAGTGTGATTTATCGTGGTGGAAGCAAAACAGCAAAGGTGTGACTACAAACTACAACCTCAAGGTCAAAGGTCAACTTTTTGGAAAATCTTATGAATACTTTAATTCAAGAACAAAGTGGTGCAGCATGTTGAAATTGTTGCTTTTAGGTGTGTCTGCACAGGGAGCACAGCTGTCATTATTTTGAGCTATTGCTACAAACTTTAAAAACTATATTAACCTGCTAGGACCTGCGACATCACATTTTGGGTGATTTAGACCAAAATACTGTCCACGAGGACATTATGCTGCCACTGTCCCATCAAAATTTAAAACGAATAATGTGTGCCTCTCATTTTTCTTAGGAACAAAAATCGGGTAAAAGAAATCTGGTGATTCTTTGTTTTTACATTCATCGGGTCCCAATGTTCAAATATCAAAGAGAAATTAAAAATGTTTAAGAGTTTGGGTCTGAGGAGGTTAAAGATTTAAGAAATACAGTTTGAAACCCAACGAAACAAGAGCGTTCAGGGAAAGCTGTGGATGCTCTGAAAGATGAAATATATTCATAAAACATCAAACCCTTTATAAAGATGGTACTTTGTAATACAGGTAACACTTCAGTTCAAATGCATGCGTGACAGACTCCAATAATAAGAACCTGACTGGTCGTCGTAAAAATTCAGCTGCAGGTTTTGAGTTGGACATAAATCCGTCAGGTTGGTGCTGCAGCCTGACCTTTTGAATAATTTAAGGACCTGAACTCCACAAACAGCAGTTGTTTCTGGTAAATGTCTAACTTGTTAGCCCGTCGGCTTCCTGCTGAATCGCTGCTCTTTCAGTTCATTCCTCAGATTGGTTCATGCAGTCAGATACTCTGTTAATCATTTTTGATATTCATCTTGGTCCACGCTAAGGCTGTCCCCATAAACACCCCAAATATCACCTTTATTTGGAGACATAGTTGACATTCACACTTGTAATAAAGTTCCTCCTCTTCAGCTCCTCTTCACTCTCGTGTTTGATGTCTGGTTTTAAATTTAACTGAATTGTCTGTTTTTGTCCTGCTGGGAGTAAAATTATGAAGAACAATAAAGCTGAACGCTTGTTGTCGGAGACATTCAAGGACTCACGCTCCCTCAGATAAAGCACGTTGTTTATTTCAGTCTTCAGCCCTCACCTCAAACCACAACACCTGAGCATCTTCATCTCCTTTACTGACGTCTTTGTCAACTTACAGCTGGATTGTTCTCTGAATATGCTGGAAGTCGAGGACACGGATGTGTTTGTGTGTTTGTCCTCTACTTCATCTTCTCTGTCCCCACATGTTTGTCTGTCTTTGTCCATTATGTCACGTAGGTCTCCGTAAAGGTCGCTTTTGGATCACACCTGACCCTTACCACAATGATGACAATATCCAGATTGGACGGGAGGTGAAGATCAGCTGCCAGGTAGAGGCCACGCCCCCAGAGGAGCTGCAGTTCGGCTGGCTGAAGAACGGGCGGCCTCTGAGGAGTTCAGAGCGGATGGTCATCACCCACACCGACACAGATGTGTCGCCGGGAACCACCAACCTCGACATCATCGACCTCAAGTTCACCGACTTTGGCACCTACACCTGTGTGGCGTCACTGAGGAACGGAGGAACCCCGGAGATTAGCATTGACGTCAACATCTCATCCACCACAGGTGAGGCGAGCTCTTACGGTAGGTGGAGTTAACAAGCCCAGCTTCAAACAGCTGCTAATGAAGTACACACTAATCACAGCTGCCCCGGTGACTTGGCAGACCCTTCGAAGCAGCTGCGATCAACGCTAGAGCCTGATTGGACACGGGGCTGCGGCACAGTGAGAGGCAGCAACAGGGGATAAAGGTCCGAGCACAAAACCAGGGGAAGTGCTGGGACACCTGTAATTTATGATGTTCAGTTTAGTTTATATCGTCTCAATCACACCTCAAGCTGCTTCACTGTATATACATGTATGTAAGGGTCTATATTAATACAGAGACCACACCCACAGAGCACGCGCTCAGCAACAGTGGGAAGGAAAAAACCCCGTTTAACAGGAAGAAGTGTTCTGCAGATCCAGGCTCATGCAGGGACAGCTACGTGCTGGGCTGAGGGCTGATGGGTGGGGTGTCGCTCAGCACCCCCCCACGCCGTATGGCTGAGAGCGGCCGGCCGGGTTCTGACCCTCTGCTGCATGTCTGCTCCTGCTTTCCTGTCGTTTCCTCACTCGTCCATCTAACAAAGCTGAGACAGACACAGAGATGAACAATAACTACTGAGTAAATCAGAGGGGCCTATAAACACATAGTTATTAGTGTGTGTTTCATACCGCACACCCCCCCAGCAATGGCCCTGGGGCCCCATAGGGGTCCCGCACTTTGGGCCCCACTGTCTTAGATAGACCTAACACACACAGTGTGACGGGCCCTGAACCACACTCAGCCGTTAGCTCTGCAGAGGTAACTCCTCACAGCTGCAGTCAAATACAACGTGAACCACACACTGAGGCTGATTATCAAACCGCACACTCCTCTTCTAATATCGGGTTTTCAGAAATAATATCTTGGAGCTCTGCATTGTTTTCTTTGAAGCTTGTCATCTGTGACAGCTGTTTGACACGTCCTGCATCGTTTCAAGAACATACAGTGGGAATGAACTCATGTTTCCTCTGTGCCACCAAGATTAAAATAGTAGTTGTTTGGTGAAAAGTCCTTGAACTGTGGAACAAAGCTCTGAGCTTCTGCAGACACAGAGAGGAGCAGACCTTCACACAGATGTCAGGCAGATGAACGACTGCCGCCGGCTTCCTGTTTGTTTATGACCTTGGCAGAGTGAAAGAAACAGAGCCCGAGAGGAGGAGGGGGGTAATCGAACTCCTGCTTTAGTCTGTGCGTGAGGCCTGCTGACGCATGAAGGTCACGCTCGGGTCACTCCTGAATCCCCAGAAGGAAAATAAATGCTAAAGCAGTCCAGCAGCTCTCTTAGTGTCACTGCAGATGAAGGACGATTCTCCAGCAGACACGAAACAAAAACATTTTGTGTGCAGGCAAAGTTAACCTCACAGTCAGAAAGCAAAGGCATTAAACCCACTGCAGCCACGGCAGGACGCTCTGTATTCCTCGTCCACATGGAAACGCAAAAAAGGAGTTTAAAAAAAATTGTTTTCTGTGATTCGAAACGGCGTTTCCGTGGACGAAAGGTCCAAACGCATAGAAACGTTTTTAAAATACCCGTGCAGGTGTGGACGCAGCGTGAAAGAGTTTGAAGTGTGAAACAAACTGCAGTGTGTGTGTGGAGGATGTGTTTGTGTGCGGGGTTTCCGTGTTGATGACATGCGCAGCTGTAGACCTGCTCCTCTTTTATTCTGAAAGGACAAACCTTGGCAGTTATCAGCAGTTCAGATTTCCTGTCTCTGTCCCTGTAGTTCCTCCGGAGCTCACCGTCCCCAGGGGCCGTTCTCACCTCATCGCTCAGGAAGGCGACACCGTAGACCTGCAGTGCCTGGTCTCTGGAAAACCCAAACCCATCATCCTGTGGTCTCGGGTGGAGGAGAGCGGGGCGGCGGCGGCGGCAGCGGCGCTGATGCCGGACGGCTCTGTTCAGACGGAGAGCTACGACGGCATCCTGAGGATCAGCAACGTGAGCAGAGAGATGAGCGGGACGTACCGCTGCCAGACGAGCCAGTACAACGGCTTCAACGTCAAACCCAGAGAGGCCTTGATACAGCTGGTGGTGCAGTGTGGGTAACACGCACACGTCACTCAGACACACACTGTCCACGACTTCACAGCTAACACCCAGAAACAGCTCCATAGTTTATTTATCAGTGAGCCAGGAGACAGAACTGAATCAGTTTGTCAGGCATCAGGAAGAAAGAACATCAAGTGTCGGAGAACGTGAAGGCAGATCTGGGAACAAACCATCATTGCTCCTGTCAAACAGGTGCTCATTCAAACTTAGCGTGGCTCCTCACACTGACGTCCTCTCAAAGAGTTGAGTTTACAGGCTGGCTACGTTCACTCTGCAGGTCTTAATGCTCAATTATGATTTTTTTGTCTGCTCGTTCACACTACAAATAAAATGCGACAGCAAACGCGCTCTAGTGTGAACGCTCAAAGCGGCCGCATGCGCAAAAGAAGACGTCACACACAACGCGCTCTGTTCAGACCCAGAGCAACAGTATTGTTTGACTGATGGCCTTAATATAAAGACTTCGGACTTCACGTTTCCCAATTTTGCTTTAAGTTATTTTGTTATTTACATAATAATGTAAATAACAAAATAATGATCCTTATTGCTGTTTTAGAGGAGCGCTGCTTCAAAGGATAGTTGCAGATTTCTGTCAGAATCTGCAGATTATACAGAACAAATAAAATGTTCACGTTTCTCCAACGTTGTTCCCAACAGTTTCACCGGATGGACAGGAAGTGTTCGCGATGTGTTCTCCGGCGCTGATAATCGGCGTCTGTCTTGTGTCAGTGACGTAAAAGATTTAATGCGACGTGACCATCAAACAGCAGCTTTCTGAAAGATCAGATATGTATCGGATTCAGCACCACATACGAAAGTGACCCAGGTCGGATTTGAAAATATTGGGTTTGTGCCGTTCACACAGTCACACCATGATCGGATAGATGGGTCACAGAGGGTCAGAGAAGTCGGATTTGATGCGCCTGCAGTGTGAACGTAGCCTATGAAGTGTCCAAAGATCTGTGAGGGACACGTTTGCTGATCCTGATAGATGATTGAGGCAGTTACACCACTGCACTTCCCAGCTTTCCCTCTGTAAAGTGAATTTCCTGCAACAGTAACTGTAACTAGCAGGAATTCTGCTTGATTTTGGGAGTTACTGTAATGAGCTGAGCTCCTGCAGGACTCGTGTAGGTGATTATTTATCAGAGGGGAAGTTTGTTATGCATAATCACTGCACGCTTTCCCGTCTAAGATCTCCTTTCAGCTCAAACCATCTGCTGCTCATGTAAACAGCCACCAACAACTGTGCTGCTTTAGCCCCTAAAATACCCAGAATGCATTGTGGAGCCGACTCCTAAGCCCTGCAGAAGAAATGTCACACTATCCAATCAAACTGATCACCAGAGCAGACAGCACCAGATCAGTCTGATACAAACAGCAGATCAGTTAAAGACACCGACAGCTGCAGATCAGCAGGTACACTTTTCAGCACCTCGGCCGCGGGGCGCTCGGCAGATGCTGACGGACACATGCTGCCTGCCCATCTCGGACAGAACTGCATCCACCACCTTCCAGTCACGCTCCGTCTAACCTGCAGGCTGCTGTGTCGCACAAAATAGCATCACAGGATGTGACGGGAAGACTTGCAGCTCCTGGCTTCATGCCGCACTAAAAGGCTGTCAGAGCAAATCTCCTCTGCAGCTCGAACAAGCCTCGTTCTGCAGAGTCGGCGCAGACACTCACAGGAAATCAGCAGCCCGGGCTGTGAGTTCAAGGAACAAAACCTGACTCATAGTTTGAAAAACAAATTTATTTATTTATTTTTCCTTTTCCTGACAAGTCAACATTATTAAATGCCGAGCAGATTTTATCCAAGTCTGACATTTCAAAGATGTTATCAAAAAACAATCTAGTATCTGAAGACTAAGAAGAAGACGGCTGAAAGTGTAGGTTGAGAATAAAACCAATTATTAGACATTTTTAATAGATTTTAATAGATCAGGAAAACTCCATTCAGTTTGAAAACAGTGACCTACACAGTAAGGCAAAGACTCTACAGTGATACAGTCAGACCTCCCTGTATGAGCAAACGCTTGGCGACAGTGGGAAGGAAAAACTCCCTTTTAACAGGAAGAAACCTCCGGCAGAACCAGGCTCAGGGAGGGGCGGGGCCATCTGCCGGGTCAAGGGTCAAGGAGAGGGAGACAGGACGGAAGAGAGACAGAGATTAACCACAAGCATGATTCAGTGCAGAGAGGTCTGTTAGCACATAGTGATTGAATAAGAACCAGTGCATCATGGGAATCCCCCAACAGCCTGAGGGAGGATCCAGGGTCACCTGGTCCAGCCCTAACTATATGCTAGGGCTGGACGATATGACCCAAAATTCATATCTCGATATTTTTTACCTGGACG